CTTTTTAATATGCTATCTAGGCTTGCCATAGCTTTCCTCCCAAGGAGCAAGCGTCTTTTAATTTCATGGCTGCAGTCTCCAGGAGTATTATAATTCCAGGAGTATTAGCTCTACTTTATTGTAAGGTTACCTGAACAGAATCTTGCCATTCTGAAAGCACGTCTCCCTCCTCTTGCCTTTACAGCCCAAGAAACTAGGGAAGGTCCCTCCGGAAATGTTTGCCACGCCCCATTTCTTCTGGGGGCTAAGCTGCCTCTTATCTGGCCAACCCCCTGGCTGCGGCTCTTCCCTCTGTCTCCCAAGATGATTCCCACATACCAGTATACATACACAGTAGCCAAGCCCGAAAAAATTACATTCACAGGAATTGCCCAGAACAGAACCTAAACTTGGGATCTCCCAATTTCCGCTCTGGAGCATGCTCTCTCACCACAGTGCTACTCCCACTCTCTGTAAGCATCCTGGTTGGAATCCAGCATCTGGCAATCCAGCTGTTCCCTCCTCCAAGTCCTAACTGCAAAATCATCTACCTTCTCTTTAATGAACGGAGGCATTCTTCCTGCTCTCGTGTTTTCCCTTTGGTTTTTCCTTTCCTGCCTGGACACTTTGCTTACCCAGATCTTGATTGTGGGACTTCTCCTGGCCTTCCACATACAGCAAACTGTAGCCTTCCCAGAGTTTGTTCATGCCCACCGGGCATGGCGGGATCTGCTCTGACTGGCTGTGTTTCACCAAGGTATAGCCAACCCCAACGCTGCGACCTGGCATTCCAGGCAACCCAGCCGGACCTGGATTCCCAGGTGCTCCTGCAAAGAAAGAGAGGCGGTTGCATGTGGCCCATGACTGGTATCTGCCCAGCAAAGCTCAGGTCGGCCCGGAGAAGGTTCATTCACAACCTGCACCAAGCCGATAAGTCTCAGTTGAAAGCCCACAATTGGAGTCGGGCTGCCAAACCATTGTTGCCTTTACTTGTTGCAGAACTACACCTTCTCCAACTGCATATCAGCAGACTATCTCAGGCAACTTTGTGTGTGTGTGAGTGTATGCCTTCAAGTCAGTGTGGACTCCTGCAACTGCCTGGGCAGGTCCCCGCAGTTTTCTTGGCAACATTTTCGGAAAGAGTTTGCTGTTGCCTCCTTTCTAAGGCTGAGAGAGAGGGACTGGGCCAAGGTCACCCAGGTGATTTTGGGTCTAAAGGAAGACTAAAGTCTCCTGGTTTCTAGTCCCATACCTTTAATTACTACACCACACTGGCTCTCACCTAATGCTAGTGGACTTTGTGAATTCCTCACTTTCACTCACCTTGTTTGGTCAGACTACAGCCTTCCTCCAGAAGTAGCATTTAGGAGGAACTGATGCCTCATCTTTCCTGCTTACTATGAAGAGCAATCTTCTATGAAAATTGATGAATCCTTGTGGCATTTACACATCAGTAGCATTTCATGAAGCATATCAGTCATTATTATTTTACAGCTTTTAGGGCACACCCAAGTCAAAAGACTCATATTAGACATATAAACACACACACAGACACAAACTTACCTTCAAATCCTGGTAGCCCTGTATTTCCTGTATTTCCTGGGTCTCCTACCATCCCAGGAGAGCCTGGTAAGCCAGTGATTCCCACGTGGCCCGGTGGGCCTGCCTTTCCTTTGGGACCTGTTCATTAACAGAAGCTTTTGTCCCATTCATTCATGACAATCCATTCAGTTCAGAAGTAACAAGAGACAGATACCCTTAAGAAGACCAGCTTATCTTTGCTTTTCCATGAATTGCACCTTGGCATGATGAAGTCAAGATCTTCCAAAAGACTCCATCCTGAACATTATATTCTAGTAGCCAGAAGTAGCTGCAATTTGCAAACGCAAGTACTGTACGTAAGTGTAATCAAGGTTGGATGAATCAGTATTTCCAACCTGCTACCCTCTAGATATGTTTGATCTCTCATTCCCAGGATTCCTGATGCAATAGCCTCCAAGGTGCTACACACAGAGACTTCATAAACCTTTGATTAAAGCAAACAACTTGGAAATTGCATCTTTCTGCAAAGTATCTTCAGGGCCAAGAAGAACAACATTTGGTTTATGATTCCTAGTTCTAAAGAATCATGCCAGGGACAAAAAGTGGCCACAGGAGGAGAAAATATCACATGTGGAATCCAATGGGAGGAATAAGGCTGAGAGCACAGGTCATCCTCAACTTACGACCACAATTAGGACCGGACTTCCATTGCTAAGCAATGCAGTCGTTAAGTGGGTTTTTCACTTAGTTAAGTCGTTAAGTGGCCTTTTCACTTAGTTAAGATAGCGCCTAAGAATGGTTTGTGGGTCCAATTTTGGGATAATTTTAAATATTTGTTATAATTTTTAAAATTTCTTTTTATTTATTCATCAAATTTGTCACCGCCCGTCTCGTGAAACGACTCTGGGCAGTTTACAACAAGATAAAAATGTGCACCCCACAATGGAGGGGCTGTGGGCTGGATCTCTCACTCCCAATCAACACCGATTGGGATCAACCTTGGAGGAAGGAAGAGAACCAGTACAGAACTGTGCCGCCCACTCCCAACTCCCTAAGTTGACCCAAAAGGATACCATGGTCGATTCATTTTTATTATCTGTGTATTATACAATGGATGTGTTCCTTTGTAAACAACTGTGAATTTTATGATCGCAGTTTGGTTCAAAAATAAAATAAATAAATACAGATACGCATGGAATGGTCAAAGTTACTGAGAGACTCCACATGAAGCTGATTGTTACTATTCCAAGAAATGTAAATGAACATAACCCCAAATTCTTCAGAAAAAGATGACAAACGTGCTTTTACAAAGTATAAAAAGGTCTCATTATGATGGCAAATTAGTATTCAACATATCCTGCTCTAAGCCTGGAAGTTCTTTTTAGGTAACCATTGGAAGATGGATCCTCCAAGGATTCTTTGGAGACCATGTTCTCCATACAGAGTCCCAGCTTTGCATCCTCATTTCTAAGGACAATGTACAGTAGCTTGCTTTACCTTGTGGTCCAATTTGCCCCTGGAAGCCAAGTTCTCCATTTAAACCAGGGATGCCATCAATTCCAGGAAATCCGATTAAGCCAGGAGCAACTTTGATTTCTTCTGGTATTTGGGTTGAACCTGGAGCTCCTTGCAGCCCAGGGAAACCTGTAAAAAACAGAAAAAAGATGACTTGCAAAGATGCTGTTCATGGGTATCATACCGATTTGGTCAGAAAATCCAAGATCAGATTTTTCTGTCATTATCAGAGGGGACAATGTGCAATGATCATGCAATGAACGGCCAGAGTGCAGAACATTCCTGTTCAGGACATGCCATCCCAATCTCCCTCCCAACTGTTCTTCCAGCTGCCAATCGGTGATGAAAGAAGTATCAGCCTAGAGAATCCCACAAAATCTTTTTCAAAGAAGACCCCAGAATAGCCCAAAGATGCCTGAGGAAGGAATGTCCTACAAAATGGCATGACTGTCTGTCTAAACCCCAAATGTAGCACCCACTGAAGCAGGGACCACTTTTGGATCACCAATTTCTCCTGATCTGATACAGCAAGCGAAGTTCCGTAAATTCTGAAAACTCCCTCAACAACTCTAACATAACGTCCACTTCAAAATAAACTGAAACTTTGGGTTCATCCTAGAATGGTGTCAAGCCTAGCGCCACTGGGCAAAATCAAGGAAGCAAGAATTACAGTACAGAGATTTCAGTAAGGCATCTTGAATGCCAGTCTGGAAGTAAATACAGAATCTTAGAAACCATCCAAGGAATTTCCACCCTCATTTATAGGGAGCTAATTAAGGCAGAGTCTTTTGGATTCAAAATAATTCTTAAATTTCTCCCCACCTGGGCTGAGTTGCTATTTATGAGATAAGGACCTTCTATAAGATAAGGACCTGATTGTTTATGTCTGCTGTTCCTTCCATTCCTTTCCCAGCCTCCCCACAACCTTTGGTCTGGAGTTATATCCACTTTCCAGGACTTACCTGGAAGGCCTCTTCCACCTTTTGGACCAGAGGAACCTGGATCACCCACAGGTCCATCTTTCCCGGGCATTCCCATGAACCCTGGGTCACCTCTGAATCCTGAGGAGAGAGAAAAATAAAAGATCCAGAGACTGGCTTCTAAATCATGCAAGATTGAAAATTCACCAGACACAGCAGCTTCTCCTGTTTTAGAATTCTTTTACAAACACTGATGCTGCCTCAATGTCCACCCTGCCCATCGTATGGCAAAAAATTGGGACATGTGCACCACCTCAAACCTCAGTATGGACCCCAAAGATTACTAAAAGTTGTCCCAATTTCAGTTTTGTTAATATGATGAGCGGACAATATTTAATACATTCTTGTCAATGAAAATGAAAATGAAAGTAAACTTAGTTTCTAGTCCCAGATCCAGCTACTTTGAGGAGTGCCTCTCCACCATCCAGTTAGCTCAGCCTGAATACAGGAACATCACACAATCCAAGTCTGCAAAAGGAAAAGATCTCCCACCAACCTGCCCTCCAAGAATCAGAGTTACACAATCAATCATTTCAGGAACCATCTCATCTGAGGACCCAAAGTAGGCAACGGAATGTACTCGCTCAAATAGCCTAAAAACATGTGCCCCTTTTTTCTTTCAAAGAGGGATCCCAATTTCACAATGAAATAAAGACCACCTCCCCAAACCCTCATCACTTAGCAAGTGGATAGCTGTACAAATAAATCTGAAGATAGAGAAGCTGGTATTTCAGAGAACCTGAAGCTTCCTATTTTTGCTTCTTAGGTTTACATCCCAACTTTCTTCTAGGGGTAACCCTGTGGGGTAGGTTGCTTTGAAAGACCATGACTGGCCCAAAGTCATCCAGCAACCTTTCATGGCTGAGGTTGATCTGGGTCTCCCCTGCTCCCAATCCAACATATACCAAATATGGTCTAAGAAGACCTTTGTCTCTAGGCCTGTTCAGTGATGACACCACAATGATGATGTTGTATCTTTCCCAGGAAGTCTCACCTGGCACCTATCTTGTGGTCTTTCTTCAGCTTTGAAAAGATGGGTTTTAGATGTTTGCACTATTATTGTTAACTCTGGTTGGTTTTCTTTGGAAGCTGATTTAATTTAGAATCAGAATTGGCTAAGACAACTTTAAACACAATTTAGACACCACCACCCCGTCCCCCCTGCTCAATGCAAGGTCTGAAATGTATGACACAGCTATAGCATCTCTGACAAACAGCCACAGTTACCACTTGAAAAATCACCAAGGAAAAGAGTGTCCCCCTCCCAAAATAATCTGTTGTCCTGCCAAAGAGCTCTTACCATTCAGAAATCCTTTCTAATGTTTAACTGCCATTCAGATAGTTTCCATCTTCATTCCACACGACTGTTTTCTATTTCTCTATTTTATGTTCTTGACCTATACTGGTGAAATGTCCTAATCTTATCCCTTTGGAATGGTGTGACAGAACTCTTTAGTGCAGTCTTCTCTAACTCGCAGAGATACTGGGATTTAACTCCCAGAGTATCTCTAGTTAGCATGGGCACTGGCCATTTGGGATGTGAGGAGCTTAAGTCCAACACATCTCACTTTGTTGGATCAGGGGCTACACCCAAATGATCCTTGAGGCCTTTAGGCATACTGACTTCTGACTTCACTTTGATAGCGAGGATGACTCCCTTTTCCAGGTAAGGCTCACCTCAGCTATCCTGAGAGGTGACAGATGGTTAGAGAAAGAGAGCATTTCATGCCTTTGAGGATGGGAGTGAAATAACATAATGCCTTACCTTTGAAACCTGATGCACCCGGGACTCCACTAAGTCCAGGGATGCCTGCATCACCTTTGGGGCCTGGGAAACCAGGAGAACCGGTGAAGCCTGGATTACCTCGATCACCTTGATTGAAGGCTGGGCCTGGTGGTCCTCGTGGCCCAGGAGGACCTTGGAAGCCTGCGCAAAGAGGGAAAACAAGGAGATGTTGTTGCCAATCAGTCCTTAGCCTCCTGGAAGCTCCGCTATACAAGAACCCTTAAATAATTTCAGCCCCTCCAAATCTTGAAATTGTCTCCACGAGTTGCCTCGGAAGTTCTTGAGAGGCCCCTTTTAAAAATGATAACAGGTTGTCCCTGTTTAGTGACCACAACTGAGACCAGCAACTCGGTCATTAAGCAAAGCAGTCGCTAAATGAAATGGCGACTGTGCTTATGATCTGACTTCAGCTTCCCTTTGCTTTACAGACCTGCAAAGGTCATAAATGTGAGGACTGGTCGTAACGTTACCTTTTCATCACCATCATAACTGCGAATGCTTGCTAAACGAGGCAGTCGCTAAATAAGGACTACCTGTATTAAAAAGTAGATCTTCCAACCAAGCCATATGAATCATCAAATAAAGGTAGCTTTGCCCAATTTTCACTTGGCCCTTCAAAGAAGGCTAATAATAATAATAATAACAATAATAACAACAACAGCAGCAGCAGCAGCAACAGCAACACATAACTTCCTGATAAGCTCAAACAGCTGATGCAGGAAATTAGTGACTCAAAGAGAACTGGAGCCACATATTAGCTGTGCTTCCCCAACATGCCTGGTATTGAATTAAATCATTGTTCTAGGTCTGACCAATACATTGAACAAAAAATTAACCATGGGCCTTGAGCTTGCTCATCAGGCTAACCACAGCTAACCAAATTTAAAATGAACCAAGTTTAATATGTTCTGGGAATGCAGCTGCTAGATTTGTAACATGTTACGTGAACGCTGCCATTATCTCACACATCCACCTTAATTTTTCCTTGAGGACTTTTTCAGTATACAGTAAAGTGATCCTCTTTTTTCTGTTTCAAAATGGTGTTGTTTTCTCTTTTGAACCAGAATTTATTCAACCATGGCTATTAAATAAACCACAATTGGCTGAGTTTGCAACTACTCTAGACCATAGATCATGACTTACTAGCCACAGTGGTTGGGTTCACACAACATGTTAAGTCAAAATTGCACAAGGGACGCTATGAATTAGCATGTTTTGTACACACGGTCTTCCTGTAAAAACCTATCCCAAAACTCTCTAACTCCATACCTGGCGGCCCATCTTTTCCAGAATCTCCAGCATCACCAGGCCTCCCAGGAATTGTTGAAGGTAGAGAGATGCCAGGGGGGCCTCGCAAACCGGGGTTACCCGGGCTTCCAGGAAGACCTAGAATGATATAAACAAGCATTCCCAGACTCTACATTCCTGTAGGAGAAAAACCTAGAGGAGATACATTAACTAACTAAAAGATGTAATAAAGTGACAGTCATGCTGGATTTGAAGCTGCTAATTCTGCTAAGTGTCAGCTATGGCAGCATCACTGGGACAATCTCTCTCTCTCTCCCCCCCGAAACAAAGGCAACCAAATACGAATTGGACATGCTCGGGAGAGCTACAAATGTTCAGTATTTGGGAGAAAAATCTGGCAGAGGGGAAAAGGGAATGCAATGGAGTATCACAGAAGAAGACATGGCTAGATGGAACCCAGGAAAGGTCTCACTTGTTGCCTATTATGGCTTATGATCCTCCCTCCTCCCTCTTCCCTCCTCCATCCATAGCCACCTAAGATGATATAAGTAGTCAGGTTCTTCCACACCCAAATATATTGTCTCAACAATTGTTTATTGCCGCAACAAGTGGCAAGCAGAGTTGGACTAGATTAATATTTGGGTGGGGAACTACCAAGTAAGTCCAAGTTGTAGGCTAGGCCAAAAAAGAAAAAAAAATCCCAGAAGAAGACAATAGCAGACCACATCTGTAATGCTGCCAAGACATCAGCATGGATGCTATCACAGGGGTCAAGCTCGACCTTTTTTACAAGATTAATCCTGCAACTGAATTTATCCAAAAGAAGGCAGACATAAATGTATGACCCTCAGAGGAAGATATTTTCCTGTATTCTCAGCAAATGTAAAACATGTCCATTTTAAAAGTTATTTGTTGGGGAGGAAGGGGATCCCTAGTTTTCCTTTTGGGTAAAGATACTCATAGTAAATAATCTAGTAGAATTAAATATTAAGTATTTGGGTTAATATTACTCAATTAAATATTGAATAATACTTGTGTTTATCATATTTGAGTAGAGTATTCCTTACAACAATCCTGTAAAATAGGTGTGGCTTATTTTGCAGTGGAGAACACAGGAAGTTTTTGGACACCTTCATGAGAAGTTCATGATGGAGGCAAGATTTGCACCAGGGTCTTCCCAATTTTAATTATTCTTGACACCATTCATGATGATTTGATTGTTGTTACAGCTCTTGACAGTATTCAACTATGATATTCTCTCTTGCAACTTCTATAATCTACCTATTTCTCCTGCAGGTCCTTTTCGCCCATGAAGGCCTGGAGCTCCAACCTGGAAACCAGGGTCACCTCGTTCACCTTTGACACCTGGAAGCCCTGCTGGTCCAGGAAGTCCACTTTCACTCAGGCCTAATAAAATTAGAAAAAGCATTAAAAGCGGCATGTTCCAGCCCTTGTTTACTAACATTTGGCAATACTTGATGATTCAAATAAAACACAGGATACCAAAGTACCACGAAGCTGGAAAAGCATATTCCTGTTTCTGTAGTTCTGATACTTCAGAATTTGGTTGCAGAATGGGGAGAAGGCAAAACACAGCTTTTAGGAATCTGCAACAAAAGGAATTGAAGGGCCCACACCAGGTTTTTAAATACTTCTCTGGGTGTCTGCAGGGAGAGGGAAAATGCTGAAACGTGTGTGATGACATCATCACACAAAAGCCTCAACTCACATATTTGTGGAGTTCTTGGTGTTCTCTGAGCTTGGTTGCTGGCTTGCAGATGTTTCCTTACCCAACAGGTAACATCACCAGTGCATGTCACTTGCCTTGATCAGTGTGGCTCACACTGATGATGTTACCTGGTTGGGTGATGCAACGTCTGCAAGTCAACCGCCAAGCTCAGAGAGTACCAAGAACTTTGCAGTTCAACCCTGAGCTGCAGATCTTCTCTTCTACTGGAATCACATATTTGCATCAGAAGTTGGGAGGCATGTACATAATTGAAGCATTTAGGGGATGATATTACTTGCATTTTGGCATTACTGTTGGAAGCTTCCAAAGGATGTCTCGATTTACCTTGTTTTCCAGGTGAGCCCTTAGTGCCCTGTAAGCCATTGAGGCCAGTCAGTCCTGGCAATCCTGGGAATCCTGTAGACACATTTGAGAATGTTTGATGGCATATCAGGTGGTCACCGAGACATAGAAAATGCTGCTGCTGTATATTTATTGTTTTTATCTACTATAAGGAAGTAGTAGATCTGTTTGGCCAAGAGACCTACAAGGAGGCTTACAAAGTCAATTCAGTCATATAATACAATACTAGATAATGTCAAGATCACACAAGGAGTTTTCCAAAGAAGCTGAGAATTCCTGGCCGACTGCTTGTCAAAACAAGAAAGTGGAACAAAAATTCTTGGAAATAGAATCCTTTACAGTGGAGCCTTCACTGAAAAGCCCCCCCACCCCAAGTCCCCATCATGTATGAAACCAATTAAGTGACCCTGAAATAGGAATGGCCTGCTGGAACTGGTGAAACAGGGACATCTTGCAGACAGCCTGGCCCCACTGCTAACTCCCAACTGCTACTGGTAAGTGAAGGAGAGGGGAATTCATCATTCTTCTCCAGCATGATGACCCACTGGTCCACCTATTATGCCAAGAGTCTTTGTAAGATTTGGTTTGTCATTCCAACCCACAATTTGAGTTTCTCTCTAAAAGTAATGTTTTCAACAACAACCCAAAAATGCCACACAAACCTTTTAGTCCTGCAATGCCAGGAGAACCAGGAAATCCTGGAGGTCCACGTTGCCCAGGATTACCGGGAAGACCTGGGTTGCCCCTCAAACTAGCTCCAGGGAAGCCTAAGGGGAAAAAACAAATAATTTAAACTTGAGCTCCTAAAGTTGCAGAATATATACCTACATAATGTTAAAATCTTCAGAAGCTGTGAGTTTTACTCAACTGAACTCAGTGAAATGGATTTCCAAGGACACAAATTTAGAATTAGAGAATGGAAGCACAGGACCAAAATATTAAGTATTTAGCACTTACTTAAGTTTACAGTTTATATCAGTTGCAACATAAGGCAATGCATGAAGGTTTCCAGAGTTTTCCCATCTAGGCACTGAGCAAATCTAATCTACTTTAGTTTCAGCCAGATTAGATAAGTCAAGTCTCCCTTGAGTCAAGGTCAACTCCTGGTGACTTCATGGGTGCATCCACAAAGTTTTCTTGGCAACAGCATGGAAGTGGAAGCTGTCTATTCAAATACTAACCAGAGCTTAGCATCTGAGATCAACCAAGCTTGACTACTTACTGCCACCTGCTGAAATTTGGTGTAAAGGCCTGCATAGATAACACTGAAGAAGGTATGCAGGAAATATTAAGAGATAATGCTGGCTGGGGAATTTTGGGAGTTGAAGTCTAGACATCTTAAAGTTGCCGAGGTTGAGAAACACTGTCCTACAACAATAGTCTCATACCTTTGATCCTTGCTACTTCAAAGGACTGACACTCAGCCGGGTTGCTGAATCACTTACTTTCAGCCTATGTCCTAGTTACAGCACACTATAAATGAGCAAATCTAGAGTATCCCATGGTCACTTGAGGTACTGATTGTCCAGTGAGCCTTAATGTTTAAATGAAGTCAGTCTTAAATGAAAGTGGGAGCTTCCATAATCAAATAAGCCAGTTTCAGGACAGGACCATGTTCAGATCACCAGGTACCACTGCCTGTGGAGACTGCTTCTGGAGAACTGGTGGACCATTCCTGGAACAGCTGGATTAGCATGGTCCAGAGGGAAAACTGAACACCCCATAGTATCTTGGAATGTTCCTTCTCCAAGAACATTTTGCATATGGGAACGCATCTGGACCTTGAGCCCATCCACCTCCCACCCTCCATTTTAAATAAGCAATATGAACCATCCTGAATAGGTTCTGCTTCTGGTATCTCTTCTTTCAAAAATACTGCTCCATGATGTGTCACCAATCGTGAGACAAAGCTGAACTAGATATATGCACAATATATTGTCAAAGCTTTGCAGAAAGCAGGAGGGATTGAAATACTGGAACTTCTTCACACACACACACATCACAGAGGATGTGTGGATGGATGTCAACTTGGATGACTTAAAAGGAGATTGGATAAAAGGAGATTGGATAAGACTGCCAAAGGCTATCAGTCAAGAAGCCTCTTAATGCTGAATATTGAGGAACATGAGACCCCGCTAGTTCTCACAAAGATAAAGGGGGGGGGGATTCAGACTTGCAAGATTATGTTATTGTAACTTGGTGTCTCTAGCTAAAAATGGGCAAAATCTTTGGCAAAATCTGATGAGATTTGGGTGATCTTGCATGAGAATTTGTTTAAGTATCCTTCAGTTTTGCAGATATCCTTGTGAGAGTTCCAGAGTGGTTCCTGGATGTGAAAAAGCTGGTAACCCCAATGCATTGGAGGATCCAAACCAACACCTTGCAAGTGACATGTCTCTGCCCCAAATGTGGAAAAAAAAAAGGTTTTGGTTACCTCGTGGTCCTTCTTGTCCAGGGTTACCTAGCATACCTTTCTGCCCTTTTAGCCCAAAACCGCCTGGGTATCCTGGGTCACCTTTTGTTCCTTGGACACCTCTGATACCTTCAAAAACCATAAGAAAAGCCATTAAATTGCAACCTTCCCCAACCAAGAGAATTCTTGGGGTTGAAAATTTGTACCCCTGTTTTCCTTCTGATTTCTCCCCAGGCTTTCACATTCATTCATTAAGACGAATGAACCCACTCCTTCCATGGGAAAGAAGGACTCCAAAATCATAGGTTGGAACCTTTTCCAACTTACTCTTTTTAGCAGGACATGCCAAGGCTGAACTAGCAAATGTCTACCCATAAAGCGCATCATTGAGTAACAGTCCCCCGACCATACTGTGGAACCATGGGGCATTTCAGTTAGCAAGGACCTCATTTCTAGCATACTGTCACAGAACCTAAGGAAGTTAACACTGACCCCTTAAGGAAGGTGGACTTTCAGTTAATGTTCTGGTAAAAGTAATCTCAGGTAAGCCTGGTAGTTCCCCTGCCGTGAGCCATTACAGGGCACTGATTTCTTAGTTACCTGGAAGCCCACTGTCCCCTCGTTGGCCCTTAGGTCCCACACCACCAGGGACTCCTCGTGATTCCCCTCGGTCACCTGGGAAGGAAAACACAATCATCTGCTTTTCATCTCAGCAATTCTGACAACCCACCACACGCCTCTCACTCCCAGAATTTTCTTGGAAAACCCTTTGGCTTTCCAGTACTCTTTTGTCTTCCACACTATCCCCTTTACGGTTTGATAAATATATAATTTTTATTCAGGAAGTTTTTTCCACAGAATAAAAACAATACAAATTTTGAGTTCAAGTTAAGAGAAATGGAGAAAAGTAGTAGAAAAATAAGAAGAAGTAGAGAAGGAAAAAGAAAGAATAATAAAGAGGTGGCTTCTGGTCTTCTTAACAGCAGTTAGAAGTACATTTATATTTTCCCCCTCTCTCTAAGGTTACATCACAGTTTCCTTGTTTCCATAATCTACCCTTTCTAATCATCCAATCTGTAAATCATCGGTCCATTTTTTCCTTTTCTCAGCAAAAAGTCCATAAGGGCTTTTTTATGGTTTGCTTTTAAAAAAATGCTAGCAAGACCAAACCAATGGCTTACCTTTTGGACCACGCAATCCTGCAATTCCTGGGGACCCAGGCGAGCCTGGTAAACCATCAGCGCCCTATTGAAGGAAGAGTCATTTAATAATCATAATTAATACTGAATTCAGCTTTTGTTGCAATGTGATTTGCCTCCTAGTATCCTAGTCTCCAGATAGGAAGCTCCTTCCTAGTTACTATTATTATGACCACCAGCGATCTTAAGCCACTAATTCTGCAACTCCAACCTGCTTTCCTCTAAAGGTGCTGAGTCCTCCAACTCTTAGAAATTTCTACCCAACAAAGTTGAAGGTGAGGGTTATCCTCCTAAGACATCTAAAGGATGCCAGGTTGGGACCAGACCATACTTTGGAGGGAGGAAAAAGAGAAAAGAAGCAGATTAGGGCCTAGTCATGATCATACAGCATACTTTATAAACTCTTGTAACAGCTTGCTAATTTTTCACAATTTCTCACTCCACCACAGATCCTGTCTTCAAATATGAGATGGAGAAAACCATCCAAGTGTCAATTATTGTTAGCCCCGTGAAGTAGTCCAGGCAAGAAGCACAACCAGGAGTACTAGCTCTATCTTTATTGTAAGGTTACACTAACAGAATCTTGCAAGAACAAAAGTCTTTCTCCCCTCCTTTCCTTTTACTCTCTGGAAAACTAGGGAGGGTCCCTTTTGAATTGCTTCCCACGCCATCCTCCCTTCTGTGGGCTGAGACGTCTTTTACATGCTGGTTGTCCAGTCTGTGCCTCTCTTTCCTGTCTCCTAATGCCATTCCCACAGACCATTACATCTATGGTACTTCACTAAAATGTGCAAGGTTAGAAAACTCACAAGATAGCACAGTATTTTTAATAGTACAGTGGTACCTTGGGTTACGAACGCCTCTGCTAATGAACTTTTCGGGTTGCGACCAGCTCCGGCCGCAAAAATTTGCCTTGGGTTACGAACCGGATCCGCGGCCATTTTCCGCCCGTTCCACGTGGTCCGCAGCCATTTTTCCGCCCATGCCACGTGGTCCGTGGCCGTTTTTCCTCCCCTGGCGCGTGGTCCACGGCCGTTTTTCCGCCCTGCTGCGTGGTCCGCGGCCGTTTTTCCGCCCCTGACAGGTGGTCCGCGGACGCCAGAATGGATTAACAGTAATTACATTGAACCTTATGGGAAAATTTGCTTCAGGTTGCGACCAAATCGGGTTGCGACCAGAGTCAAGGAACGGATTAAGATCGTAACCCGAGGTACCACTGTATATACAATATTTGGGGAGACATATAGTTGGTGGGAGGTTCTAGAAACTGGAAAGGAACAATTTCAGGGTCACTCCCAATTCCTGTTTTAGAATGCAAGTTCCCATGGAAAGAATCTTCTGGCAATCTATACAGTGCTACACAATCCAACAGCAATATCAACAACAAAGGATAGATTTTGCATAGCCCCAAGAAAAGCTGCCTAGATTCCTTTCTCAGTTGTTGACTGTGCAGTACAGGAGACCCAGAGAAATGCAGAGTGGCTGTTTCCTGCCTCTGTCCTCACATCTTCTGCCATAATCCTGCAGCAGACGCAGACCTCCTTTCAGAGTAGAAGTTAAATGACTAGTCTGCTTTCACCTGGTGATGAAGATACGGACCAACATCTTCTGAAGGATCCAACAGATCCTGAGCTTGCTAGGAGCTCACTTAGACTCTAAAAGTCTAAAAATTGTGGCCACCATTGAACTTGGCTTTCTTCTCAAGGAAGAACAGTGGAAGTGCTTCCCACCCAACTAGGAGAGAAAAGAAAAAGAGAAAGAATACTTACATTTTCCCCAGGCATTCCAGGAAACCCGGAGATGCCACCAAATCCGTTCTGCCCCATTAACCCAGGAGGACCAAAAGATCCTGGAAAACCTGGGTCTCCTGGCAGTCCTTTCTCTCTAGCTGGTGACCCAGCTCTTCCTGGAAGCCCGGGCTGCCCGGGGAGACCTGGAGCTCCTTTCTCCCCTAAAGAAAGGTAAAGAGTGATATAGTGTGTCTAATGCTTCTTCAAAAATGCAGGTTAGCAGATTTCATCTTGCCTACAAACAGCCTATTCTGAGATAAGTTACATGCTAAAGCAGCAGATGCTACAATAATTAGAGTGGTCTTTCATAACACAGGAAATGCATGAGCTGGCATTCTGTTTTCCAGAATAGTTAACCACAAGTCCATAGGAAAGGTAGCACGGCCACAGGTCTCTTCTGTTGGTCATCCATACATCCTCAACAGATTGTCTCAAAATATTTCATGTTTAGCTCCCAAGTCAGGTAACCATTTGGGCTTAAACGCTGTCTTGGTGGCAAACCAGTGGATGTTCTAGCCCAGCATCTTTACTTCCACAGCCACCATTTAAAGAATAGTGAGAGCATTCTTACTCTCATGGTCCAACCTGTTTTCTTCCACCCTTAGGAACTGGATGCTTCATGATGCCTGAAATGAGACTTGGAGGTGTTACATTTTTGAAAGTTTTGTGTTAGGGTTCCGAAGCACATCTGCAGCTCCTTCTGTAGTACAGCAGGAATTAAATACTCCTTCAGTGCATTACAATGCCACTTTCAGAATTCCTAGCCATGCTAGCTAGGATTTCTGGGAACTGTAATCCCAGCCCATTATGAGGGACAAGGTTAGTTGTGGGCTAAAGCCATCTCTGCAAACAGGTTGAAAGACTCTTCTTGATGAGCAGGAATGTCCTATAAACTTTTCTATCCCAGGGGAAAAGAACAGTATAGTAGGTCACTGAAAGCTACAATCACCGACAGCTCCATCTGGTTCAAACATTTGGCCCAGTTTTCCCTCAGGCCTTTGGAGAGTGTGGAAATGAAATTCCCACATAAACAACACAATTTTTCTAAAAAACTAAATTAGTAGGAATAAAGGTCTGAGTTACTTTATGCAGTTGAAAGTTCCCCATTTAAAAAAAATAAATGGTATTCAGAGCACTAATAAGCAGCTTTTAAAAATGAAGGAATAATACTCTTTTGCTTATTTATTTCAAACATTTGTGCGCTGCTTCCCATGAAAAGAACATCTCAAAGCTGTCGCCAAAGCAAGGAGCGATGAGGATTGTAAAACTCTGAGTTAGGGAAGAAAAATAAAACATTTTGCAAAGATAAAATGAGTCACTCCTTTAAAAGTTCCGGACAATCCTCCCACCACTCCCCATTAGAGGAAGACAAGCCTTTCACAAATGGGGATCTGAGGATTCCCACCTAGCTCTAATTGAAAAGGTCAAGACCACAGGCAAGGACAGATTTCCTTAGTCTGGACTGGTTGGGAGTTGTAGTTCCAAAACATCTCAAGGGCAACAGGACAAAGAAAGCCAGCTTGGGCACTTACCAAAGGACAAGTAGTTCAGGACAAACACATAAAATAGATGTTATTATCTAATACTAAAAACATACCTCTTGGCCCTGGAAATCCTCTCTGTCCAGCCAGTCCAGGATCTCCTCTGTTCCCTTTGAATCTGAGGGCCAGATCTGGGGGCCTGAAAATGGGAGGACCAGGAGGACCACGAACACCTCTGTCTCCTGTACAAAAGAAGAAAGAGAAAGGCAGCACGATGCCTCTTCTACCTATACAGATCCAGAGAGCACCAGACATTCCTGCTTAGAGATATCTAGATCTGGAGACCGAACTGTCATAATTTATAGAGCCCCAAACTTAGCATATTACAGTACATAGAAGAGAAGAAGACAGATCTCTCTCCCAAGGAACTTACTATCAGGAGTCAGAAGAACTATCAAGAGGGAGACAGGTGTAAGCAGGAAAACAGCTAAGTAGTTGTTTCAGTTGCATATGCTTAGGTTGCATTACAAGTAGAGTTCTGGAAGGACATGGGAAGAAGGAAGTTGTGACAAAGACTTCACAGTTTTTGTGGGTGGATGTGAAATAGGAGCTTTATCTTAACATGTATTCTGGGAGGCAATTTTGAACACTGGGCAAGAAAACTCATGTTCCAGTCACCTTGCTGCTTGACTCCTGCAATGCTCTCTACATGGGGCTGCCATTGAAGACCACCCGGAAGCTTCATCTGGTCCAGAATACAGTGGCACAAGCAGTGATGGGCATGCCTCAATATGCCCATGTAACTCCTCTGCTTTGCAAGCTGTACTGGTTGCTCATTTGCTTCCGGGTGTAATTCAAGGTGCTGATTGTTACCTATGAAGTCCTACATGACACAGGGCCTGGTTACTTGAGGGACCACCTGCCTCCCATTACGTCTGCTCAGCCAATTTGATCCTGCAGGATTGGTGCACTCTGGCTTTCTTTAATTAACCAAAGCCATCTCTCAGGACCCCAGAAGCGCACCTTCTCTGTAGCAGTGCCTCTTCATCCAGACCTTTGGTGAGGGACAATGAGACCCCTCGCTTCATCGCACTGGCCATCTTTTATCTTTAATGTTTTATTGATTTTATTGTAATTTCTTTGTTGACTGTTGTGAGCCACCCAGAATAGTTGAGAGTTGGGGGGCATGCAAGTTTAAATAATAATAATAACAATAATAAAAATAACAGCAGCAGCAACAAGGGTGAAAGGGGAGAGGTATAGCAGAAGGGAGGAGCTGTGTCAGAAGGATGGATTTACATCACACTCAAAGACACCACACACACAAAAGCTTTTGGGTTAGGTTGGTGTTATGCTGTGCTTGATGCAAAATTTCTGGACTCACCTTTGAGGCCAGGGAACCCAGAAAACCCAGGGTTTCCGTTTCTTCCTGGTGCACCAGAAGTTCCTTTCAGGCCATTCACACCAGGGAGCCCAGGTGGGCCTGGCATTCCAGGGAAACCAGTCATGCCCACTGAGCCCTTTTCACCTAGTTTGGAACAACCGAGCCAAAGGACACAACAAGATCAGCCAACCGGGAAGTGGTCAAATCTTCAACCTTCTTTAGATGTACCATGAAAAGCAGATGGGATGAGGTGGGCCTTTTTCACTTGGTCACTGTTTAGAAGTGTTCCCCACCCTGGGCAACTTTAAGAGGTGTGGACTACAACCCCAAGGATCCCCCAGCCGGCAGGGC